TCCTCCCGACCAACGTTTCGCAAACGGCCAATCAGTACTCGACTCCCGTCAGATGTTCCCTAGAATACGACCCTGGGCTATGCACTACCAACTCAACGTTGATCGCGAGCCAACTGTGGAGCTGTTGCGAGGTTTGCATCGGCGCAGTGGGGTTGGGGTGTGAGTATAAGCGTGGAGTGGAGGGATTGGAGCTCGTGGTCGTGGAGAGACCGGGGAGGTCGTGGAGGGGCGGATGCCGAGTGTTGACGATTGCGATGGAGGAAGAAAATTTCCGAAACGGAGGAGTGCTCAAGCTTGAGAACTCGCTTCATCCATCGTAAAATATTCACCGTTGTGCATTGTTAGCTATTGAGAGGAGAGGAGAGGAGAGGCAAAGTGGGAGTAAACGCACCTTGAACCGGAAAAGCGGGGCTCTGGGGCGACGTCGGCGCGGACTCCAGTTCCCATTCACCATCCACGTCGGCGTCGGGGTCTGTGCCGGAGGAGAGGGAGAAGGGACTGGGCGGGCAGGAAGACGAGGGCGAGGAGTGCGGGTGGGCGGGGAAGGGGGAGGGGATGGGGACGTGAGCGGAGGAATAGACGCGTTCGATGTCGTCGATGGCTTCGCCGATGATGATTTGCAGCGCGCGGAGAACTGCGAACGTCATCGTGTGGCGTGGCGTGGCGGAGTGTGGCCCGGCTTAGATGGAGGACAAGACAGGGGGCGAGGGAGGAAGAGGAGAAAGGGGAGAGGGCGAGCTTGTCGATGGGCTTATACGAGGATCGGTGGTCGATGACAATGACAGCGAGAAGCGAGAAGCCTATGATGATGCGGATGGATGGCAGCCGTCCGTCACATCGAGCTGCGACTCTTTCCCGATCTTTTCGCATACTTCAATCTTGACCTGACCATCACTCCCGGAGAAGGACGCTCACGGAGGAATAAGTGTACTGTATTCCAGTGGTCACAACCAGCCGAAGTTGCAAATTATGCCCAGTACTGAAGCACTCTATGACTGAAGTAGCAGCCAAGTATCCCAGACCCAAACGACCATCGTTCAATCCTGACTCTAAGACCACAGTAAGACTCAGAAAACACAATATGTCCACATCAAGCCCCGAGCGTCCATTTCGGGCCAGAGACAGAGTCAAAGCGAGCACCGAGTGATGATTGACGAGGATCCCCCGAGGACCGATGACGTTGCGGCGCATCGAGTGTCCCACCGGTCGGCTCGAGGAGAAGCCTCTATAACTCTATTAGTATTAAAGTGCACAGAGAAGCTGGCCATTTGAATATTGGGACGACCGAAAGAGATCCACGATCTGTCAAGAACTTAGCTCGGAGGTCGCGGGTTCGAGTTCGAGTTAGGAGACTCCATGGGCTAGAGACGGCACGTAACTTACAGCGCTTTCAGAAATTATGCGGAATCGTAAACTTCGCGAATTCGCTCCAGCCACAGACCAGCCGACGGAGCGAGCTTCGGCACGGCTCTCTCCGGGCCATCGCGACTGTGGCCCAACTGCAAATATGCATCCATGAGCACACAGTTGAGACAATGAAGTGACTCCAGTGAGTAAACGCAGTCGCGTACATTTATTCTTTATGCAGGATATCTTTTGGCGAGTTCAGGGGCTCCCGAGTCGCCAGTAAGACTTCGAAAGAACACAAACTTGCCTGACACCATCCATTATATATTGCCACTGGTCATTTCCCCAAAGAGTCACCTCCTCTGTATCCCATAACACCAAGAACATATTTGAGAGTCATGTTATGCTTGATACATGTAGTAAAAAATCTGATAGCAGCCCAAGTTAGCC